AATTTCAGCTATCATAACACGACTGATATCAAAGATGTACAATGATTTAGCCTTTTAGCGAGGTATGGAATGCATATATGATGACGATCTGTCCTTTTTAAACAAGACGCCGACATCAGAAGCGTGAGCGATGAGAAGAGGTGAAAGAAATGAAGAGATCCGCGTTGATAAGCTAAAGAATACATAAATAACTTTGAACAGATGATCCCGTGATCGTGAACGAATCTTTTTGCCTTCAATTTATTTAAGGTAAAATTTTGATCGACGAACCCAATTAGTCAGAAAAAATAATTCTGTTGCGTAATTCATCTCACTCTCATTCGGGAACCAGTCTTTTCTTCATCGCTTTTCTTTTATTAGCGGAAATGAAAAAAGAAAATTAAAAAGGGGTGGATGAAAGACTGACTGCAGATACTGTATTAGGAATGGCTCATTGCGGTGGAAATCGAAATGGAATTCATAAATTAATTCAATTGTTTCGGTATAGTGAGTGTTCGCAATGGAATTTGCGGAATGGAAAAACGAGGAAAAGAGGTTACTGTAGATACTGAACTTATGATACTTGAAAAATGACCTGAATGCTCTAATACTCCGACTTAGAGGTAGGTGAGGTTCCGGATAAAACCGCACACCTCACTCTGATAAACTTATGATATGGTTCCGGCGTTTTAGTTTTTTTTCAGTTTTCATCTTCCGACCAAAAACTGGAAATGGCTCGCTATACATCCGATTTTGGGCGAGTTCCGACCATAACTTGGCCAATATCCGGTCAAAAGTCAAACTCACATAAACTTCTGATCAAAAGTTAAAAGCCAAAAGCCGAGTAAAAACTATACGTGCATTTAGAGCACAATTATCTAGGCTCCTATGAAAGATATCAAAAATCTGTTAACTGATGAATGAATGGTGATATTATGCAAAGAAGTCGGTTGGTCGTCAAATATTTGATATACTTAACAAAAATTGAGATAATTAAGCTCACAAGATATATTGGGTTGGCATTTATCAGAGAATTAACAATAATGGGGGACTGAATTCGAGCACGAAATTTTGTTCAAGATTTGGAGTTACATTATTTCCAATATCTGTTAATATCCTTCCAAAAGAGCCAGCAATCGAATTATGCAAAATCAATGGAAATGAAGAATGAATCAATTTTTTATTTTCTGTTTCATATAAAACTGATCAACAGTAACCCGTACAGTAATCAGGATATAAACGTAACAACAATTTCAGAAAATCCTCGACAGAAAATAATATTTGAAAATTGATTTTTGCAAGTGTACAGCTTAACGAAAAATGCCAACATGAGAATCGAATTTTTTTTCAAAAAAATGTTAGAAAATTGTGGTCTTCCCTTGTAAACTACACAATCTGTAATCGAAAATCGATTGAATTCACATCTCCAACCTATTCCCTACCATCTCCTCTTTATTTTTTCTTTTCTAGAAAATTTCAAAAAAAGGGAAGCCGATGATGTTGCCGAAAAGCGAGGATAACAACCAATAATTAACCTAATTCAATGCAGTCAGATTTCTAGTGAATGTAATGAATGTGAATCATCGTTTTTTTTGCGCCACGCAAATTGAGTAGCTTTTTTGTTTGTGAGAAGGTGACAACAGGTTACTGTACTTGGAAATGGAAAAGAGTGAGTAGTAGGGTTTTAGAATGTGTGTATTGGAAAATAGAAGCAACAAAGTATTGTAAAATGAACAGAATGTGGTTTTGTCATTGGTTTCAGCCACAGAAGAACGGTATAAAACTTATGACCCGATGGATTCCAGTTCTTGTTAAGAAAATTTAGACGAAACATTTCAAAAGAAATGAAATTCAAAGTTATCACTCTTTTAAACCGGAAAAGGATGAAACAACAAAGAAAATCAGAGGGTCAAAAATTACAGTAACCAAGATGAAAACAGCTAACAAGACAAAAAGGCGGCATACCAGCTAAACTTTCAACAAGGGATGTATCTGATAACATGGGGAAGAATAAACAGGATGTAAAACAGCAAATGACCATACAAAACCAAAAGCGTACCATATCATCAGAACAGAATAACATCACAGAATATAAAAAACTGCGATTTAGGAGGGAGGATAATGACGAACACTGAAAAGCTAATAGTAGCAGTAGTTTTAGCACTGAGAAAAAGGGAAAAACGACAAGAAGACAGAAGACTCGTGTCTGGGGTTGGTTGGTGTTGTGTGGGGCCACTGATTGGCTTTTGATGGATTTAATTGGTTATGAGATCAATATATCGGGCCTTATATTGTGGGATTGTGGACATTTCGCAGTGAGAGTGTGAGTGGAGAAGAGAGAGAAAACGAGGATGAATTAAAACTTGAAACCATTTTCCCATTATTTATTATCAATGGGAAATCTTATTTCGATAGTAGCGGGCGCAATCAGGAAGCGTGTTGTTGTGATTCCGGGATGAGGTGTTGGAAGTGAGATGAGGGATTTTCTGAAAATCGGAAAAACTAGCTTGAATTGCGCGTAAAGCTTCTACTCGGCTGTCGACTTGTAACTTCTGGTCAGAAGTACCAGAAGGATTTGGCTTTTGAACGGATATTAGCGAGATTTTCGTCGGAACTTGCCCAAAATGGGAGAAACAAATGAGCTCATATTGGATCAAGTACGATACCAAACTACTTCATACGACATTTCGAACGTTGATAAATTCATAAATTTGTATTTTCAAATTAAAAGGAAAATTTAATTGTTTCATATTTAAAAGCTTCGCAGATATCCCGAAATAGGTTTTACAACATAAATGTTTAAAAATTTCAGAATTATCTATTCCCATGCCGAACTGCAGCAAAAAGTCCCGACTAAGAAGTCACCAGATGTCCTGGAATCGTTTTTTAAAATTCAAATTAGCCAAATTCTATTACTGTAAACCCTGTAATAGAATTGCCTTCAGATGTCAAGTGCGAGCTAATTTATTTTGGTTTTCGTGAAAGATACTAAAAAATGTTCAAATGATAGATTATTTATCATAATATCACCAAAATGCTATCAGTTAAAATTATTGATATCTTTCACAGAAATCGAGATAATTCAGCTTGAAGTTAACGGTTCGGGTGGGCTTATTGGTAGATAACAATTAATTAGATCCTAAAAAACCCGAGCCACTCATTTGTTCCAAAAATGTTGTCTCCTTTCGAACTAATATTTTTTGAAACTTCAAGAGTCAAACACCACATCTCCTCAAACCCTCTCCTTTTTTTGCAGTAGGGATTCCATTTCTTCACCAGGAACACACAAGTCCACACACCCCGGCCTTTGTTGGCTGATGAAAAAACTCCATAAGACGCGTTCCGTGAATACAGCCAAAGAAAATACCTCAACAATTCGGTGCGAATTCTAAATATAGGTGAGTATGATTGATAACCTCCTAGTGCGAGTTGATGTGATAGAATATTCATTGCTCCCCTTGGTGACTGCACATCTCCTCCTAATTCTTCCTTTCTTCAAGTTTCTCGGAAAACAAAAATTAACAAGTTGCACGTCATACGGACCATTGCTCAAGTACACACAGTGACATGTCTCATAATTAACTTCGTTTGACTCATTTGACATTCAGCTTACGAAAAATGCTAAAAAATTTTCTCATTTTTAGATTCTGCTAATCAATAGTTTTTGGTGTTTTCCTTGTTGGGACATCTTTGACTTTTGTTTATAATCAAAGACGCGTCTCTTTGATTAAATGAAATTCCAGAACTTCCGTCCTCCAAAATGAGAAATTTGGTTCCATTTTATGTGTTTTTTCATTGTCATTTGATTCTTAAAATCCTTTTTTCTTGAATCATTGCGCCAGTTTGACCGATTCAAAATTACTTTTCCTCTGAATGCCATTCTCAGAGCTTCAATCTGAACGATTTACGGTAAACTTCCTTATGGATTTCGGGACTATAAAAACTAATATTCTCGTGGTTGTCACTAATTTTTTTTGTTGAAATTCTCTTGTGTTTTGGCACTTCACTTATAAGAATTTTGATAGATGGCTTCCAATTCTTGATCCCTGCCCTTTAAAGTCATCGTAAATTCTGTTAAGAAAAATATTACCCTAGAAATTCAGACTCATATGTTTTCTCAATATTTTTTTGCTAGTCTCCGGCTCCCATGAGTTTTCCTTCAACGGCTTAAGGTCAGAATAAAATTGAACTTTTTCATGAGATTCTGATGTACAAACCCTCCAATAATCTCCATCTGAGAACCTTCTATAAAGTCACGCGCTATCCGTATTGTACCTTTCTCAGAGGAATCTCAAGTTGTGCTTTTTAATCTGTTTGTTTGGGTTCCATGAGATTCTAGAAACTATAATTCTCAAATATACAATTCAAAAACACGAGTTTCTAGAACATCAGTGTGTTTTCTATCAACCCAGACGATCTTGAGTTGAACGTCTGGAAAACAATACATTCGTAGAACTTGATTCCCAAGTCAATTGCATAGTCCAGTTGTTTTTCGCTCAGCACCCTTTCCTCTTCATTTTTCCATCAACTCATCAAAAAAAATAATAATGAGCAGCACAACATTTTAATTATGGATCCCTGAAAAATATATATTGTGGGCGTCGCTTACTCTTCTCATATTCATTTCTCATAACGCCAACTTTTCGCGAGTATTGGCTCAATCAGAAGCTGTATATTTTTCCGTACCTGATTGGCTTCGTTTTCTTCTAAATAGGGGGCGGAGCAAGCTCACCCATTTTTCCTCCCATTCTCAAAGCCAGTTCCCATTGCTTCTCATTTCATTCTCTCTCATTCTTCCTCGAAAAGAAAAACGTTTTAGCATATGAAATGAGTCAGATGAATTGAAAAAAAAACTCTTCTTTCCATCAAAAGTTTCTCTGTTTTCCCTTCATCCTGTTTTTCTCTTAATCAACACGCATTGCTCATCAATAAGAAAAGTGCAGTTTGCTCATTAGCCGCCCCCCTCGATTCCCATTCTAGGGCATCAAAACATCATATATCTCATCTCATTTTGCTTCCAGATGTCGTCTCGAATTTCGGTCACCCTTCTGCTACTTGTTGCAGTAGCAATCATGCTCGTGGGCGTCAATGTTGTTGAAGCTAACCCAAGGCCACAGGGCAACATGGTAATAGCGTTGATTTGTACAGTAACCCACAAATTGAACATTTCAGCTCCGTTACGGAAACTCGCTTCCAGCCTACGCGCCACACGTTCTCTACCGTTTCTATAACTCGAGACAGGTGAGAGATTTAGCAGACTTGGTCCGATACAGAGTTAGCTTTTGTTGTAAAATTTGATACCCAATCCATTGAATCGTTTACAGTTTGCCCCTCAAATGAAGCGTAACAACGCTGAAGTTGTGAATCATCTTCTCAAGAATTTCGGCACGTTGGATCGTCTCGGAGATGTTGGCAAGTAAACACGTGGATGTGATGGCACCATTTCCACTTGCTAATGAAACCCCAATAATCTCTAAAACCCGTCTTTGACTCTTATTGTGTGAACCCTAAACCGAACCGACCCTGAAAACCTTATTTATATTTATTTTTATCGTATTGCTTTGCTTTATATTACCACGCGACAAAACACTATCATTATCTTTTTTTTTCCATTCTCTCAAATTTTTGTTGATTCTTGAACTTTTAAGTGAGGCTACTTCCCGATTTCAAAACTTTTCCCCCTGCTGTATGACTGTGCCGAGAACCCCTCAAATCGTCTTCTTTTGACAATACAAATCTCCTGTTAACATAAAAATTCTTAATGTGGAAATAAATATTCTTACTGTTGCGAAATATTAGATTTTGACTAACAAGGGAAAGGTTTTGAAACATCCTTCGAGAATTTGCTGAATATTTTCGTTTGAAAAGGCTTTTAAATGTTTCGAAAATTATATCTCTATCATTTCTGAACATTTAAAAAACTATTCTGCACTTTAGAAAAATTTTAAAAGGTTGCCAAGATATTGTGCGGGGGGAGGGGGCCTCCATGGCGATTATTTTCTTCAAAATTTGTTTTCTTTTGAAATTGTACGAAAGTTTTTCAGGTAATATAGCATTATGAGTTACTCAATGGATAAAACCTATTGAAACAAGTATAAAAGCTCGAAAAATGTACGTTTCAAATAAAAAATTTAGTACTTACACTTTGAGAGCCCATGTTTCGATTTCTATTGGGCACGGAAATCAGATATTACTGAAATCGTATTTAGCGTATTTGAAAATAATTCTTCACAAATTTTGATTAACATCCATTTACAATATCATTAAAATCGAGCAACAACACTCTTCATTTCATAATGCTGAACATTTGTTCTCTTGAAATTCTTTCAAAGAGCTATCCAGATTTTTTCTAGTTTCTTGTAAGTTTTTATTTTTATCACCATGCAAGCAGCGGAACCACAGGATATATTATCTCTCCAAAAATCTTCTCGATTTCGTCTCATCGCAAAAGTCCCAACGCCCACCAATAACAATTTTTTTTGACAAAGTTCCACAAAAAAAACGAATTTTCCGGACTAAGAAGCGGCTTGAGACACCCGCGAAACGTATCGGGAGGGCAACAGTTGCTCGTATATACCAGATATCCTTGAAGATTAATCAAATCCTTAGCAGAAAAAAAATGGTCAGGTGGTTGATCCCCGCCTGTGAGCCGCCCGTGCTAGGGTAAAGGTTGAGGTGAGAACTCCGCCTGATCTTCATTCACTCATTCGATTACCTGATTCTCATGGTTTCTTTGATACGAACTCCATGTCTAATAGCTATTGTAATCTACGCTACAATAGCAAAAGCTGAGAATCTGAATGAGCCCGAGGTCGCTTCCATTCAACTGAATAACATCGAGTAAGTAAATTTTTGAAAGCTAGATATTTTTCTCATAGCCACGTGCGAATAATTTTATTTGAAAAAAAAGATGATATTTTTCAGACAAGAAGATACCACTCTTCAATTGAAGATTGACACCGAAGGAGAAATGATGCACATCGTTTTCGACAATTCTGACTCATCTGATTCGACCATCACGTCTTTTACTATTTTGAACGGCGGAGTCACTCCATCAAAGGCAGATAGCGTGGAAATTGAAGTCAGTTTGAATGGCCATGTTGAAGAAGCTGACGCTGAAGAGACTTCCGGAGATACGTTTGAAGAAGCATCAGAAGATGACCTTCAGCAGCTAGCGACTGTAACAACTTCTACTTCAGCCCCAAAACTTCCACCCAGATTCATGTCAATGAGCCCACACAAATGTGCCCTTCCTCTTCCTGAAGATAAAACCTGGTTAAGTCCTATTTCGTCGGCATTAGGATTTTGTCATACGAATCATTTCTGCTACGTGTGCTTGGCGATTGTGACTTGGACATGGCTCGTCGTTAAGTGTATGGGAGGGAACAAGAAGGTAATTCCAGTCAACGAAATGGAGCTTGTACCTCAGACAGCTCCCCAGAGTGATGCTGATCCTAGTCCGGCTTAATTTTGGATAGATGTATGCTTCTTCTTTTAAATTTAATAATTCTTAGTCAACATTAATAAAATCTCGAACATATACATTTATTATCTACAAACCTTGTTAGCAACTACCATTCACAGAGAATCCTGGCAAAGTTATTAAAAATTCAAATATTAATAAATACACATTGAGAAGTTACTCAAAGGTCGACCACGACAACGGTCTTCACAATCACATCATAGAAAACACGACCATTGTGAACTTGGAAAGCGGCAGTGCTCAATGGGAACAAGCTGTTGACAACGACATTCTTCATGAAGGAGCGTTTCATTGATCTGAAAAAATTGAAAAATTTGTCTAGCGCTCTTTAAACTTAACTAACTGTTGCAATGAAATCACATTCGGTCCATGCACATCAATGTATCCATGAATTTCTGCTTCGGTAACATCGTGACAGGAGATGACACGAATGCCCATCAACCATTTTCCAGGTGTCTGTCCGACGCCGATGTAAAGGAATCCGTGAGCCATGAAAATTCCCTGAAATTAAGAAAGTAGGAAATTGTATGGCTGGAGAGCGGGATCCTGTATATTCCATGATTTCAGTACTCATCCTACTTGTCAACAAACTGATTTCGTACTGGCACAGGCCGGCTAATAACTCGCTTCAAAATTGGATTTATGGGCAAAACTACTTACCAGATGATAGAGGTTGGCGAGATCTGCAACCTCCAATCAGAATAGTTTAGCATTTAATCAGTAACCGAGTTCGGGCCTAGCAAAAATCGTCGGCCTGGCTAAAAATGCTGGCCCGAACCAGAATAACTTTTTCGAAGCCGGTCGATTCTTATTGAAAGTTGGACTCAAAACCGGCCTGTTGACAAGTATGGTTTTCACAATGACTCCCCGTTCTCCGCTCAAATCATTCAAATAAAATTCTTCGAACTTGAATCTCTGGCTAAACCAATTTTACCCAGCCCAGTTCCTGTTTTACCCAGCCCAGTTCCCAGCTCGACCAATTTCAAATTTACCGACCTACCTCAAAAACGCAGCAAATAACCTTGCAGATAATCTCGATTGGAAGAAGGTCCTGAGCTAGCCCAATAAACTGCATAACATCCTGCTCCTCATCGTAACCTCCTCCGTATTCATTGAGATCGCTGAAATAATTTTACTTGGATCTCGATAGTGTATGCTCAGCTTCTTACACAATTCCAAACTCCGTGAGAGCTAGCAGCAAGCACAGCTTGAAGAACATAACAATTGAGAAGTCAACCACTTCGGCAAAGAATCGTCGGATGAAGCTGGCGGCTCTGAAATTGTCCAAAGTCAAGATTGTCCATCTTGACGTCGTTTCTTGTCATTAGAGCAAAATCACTCACTCAAATCGGACGGTTCCAAGAACATGTGGTGGCGATGGTGGCGGTGGATATGGCACGACTCGATTTAATTGTTGGTTTCCAACTGTGGTGCGCACGAGTTCCACCTATAAAAACCAAAATTGACTTGTATAATTGTTTTGTGGAGTCAGAAGGTTTTTAGCATTTTATATGCGAGCAGAGGTTAGCGTTTTTATACTTCTCCGGATTTTGGTATTTGCTTTGTTCTTTTCGAACAATTTCTGAAACGCAATTATTCAATTTGAAGAGTTTCCCACACTTTCTATCATAAGATTGTTATGAGATCCCATTTTGAAAATTCAAATTTTTTTTGCTCCAAATATTGAGAAATCATTGAACTTTGTGACTTTCAGCTTAAACTGAAGCATGAAACTCGAGAAATTTCGTCATTTATCGTTCTGAAATTTTTCTGAACGTATGATATTTATTGTAGGTTCTCATTATTCTGTGAAAACTGAATAGACTTGCAAAAATTATCGTTGAGTCTTCTTTTCTCCGGGGTTTTTATGAGAAAGATTCAAGGCTCTCGGAAGCAGAGCCGGGGCTGGCCGACCGTCATTTCCGACAGTCTTGACTAGATTTATTTTAGAATCGCTTCATACTTTAGCACGGACTGCCTTGAAAGCAAACTAGCCAACCTAGCAGCTTTTACAGTTTTTAATGTATTTTTGGATGTTTTTCCTTGCAAATATCGATTATTACCAAAAAATCGCTGTTTTTTTTCAATAGAGCTTCAGTATGTTGCTATTAGAAACTGCTTCAAATGAACCAGATTTAGTGCCTATCATTTGCCTCATCGAATCGATCTTTCCATTCAATGTAGTCTATTTTTTGAGTATTTTTCCTATTTTTCAACAAACTTACCCATTGGATTCCTCCATTTGCTTGTTGTTGCTGCAATCTCAGTTGCTCTTGCATCTGTTGCTCTAGCAATTGTTGCCGTTGCTGTTGTTGCCGAACTTTTTCGAGATAAACTCGATGAGCATTCGCCCAGGCCTCCATTGAACCATAGTCCACAGTCACATCCGGCACCGCAAACGTCTCTCGAAAAATTCTCCGCGATCGAGCATATCTTGTTTCGCCGTGTAGCATGCTGAAATAATAATTTCTTGTTTTTTAAATGGTAATTTCTGAGAGAAACTATAGAAAATCGATCAAAAACGTGGCAAGAAAACGAGAACATAGGCGACGTCGCCCGGACGACACTTTGCGGACTACGCGGTGTATGTGCACACAACGCGCAATACCCCACGACACTTGATGGAGACAGCAGCTGTCGAATAAAATTGAAATGACACGAAAATATTAGAAAGAAGACGGAAATCCGCAAAAATCTCAAAGAGTATGCTCCAAAAAAAAATAATGGGGGATTCGAGCAAGTGGTTTTGGTGAAGAAAGTCTTCTCTGTAACCGCAACCCCGATAATCCTTCATTGAACCCACTCAAGTGGTGGTGGGGGCTTAGTAGAAATAAGATCATCATGGGAACCTTGAAAATCCTCCAACGATACCCTTTCTCGATCACTAGTGTCCATTGTTCATATATAGAATTCGACCAGAATTTGACCAGTCATAATGATCTCTCGTTTTTTGACTAATTAGTGTTTTAATTGTAAAATTTCCGTTGGTATGATTGTTTGAAGAGGTGACCCATTTGAAATAATGTGACTCGTTACTTTTGCATGTAAAGAGGAAGTTGGTTAAAAAAATATTAGAAATTTGGAAAGGATTTCTCTGCAAACTAACTTTTTTGTTATTTTTGTGGGACACATTTTGTTTAATTAGTAGTTTTTGGCAAAAATTATTTGAAGAAACAAAATATAAGAGTATAAGTTTTCAAAAAAGTTGTCATGTTGTGCAGTTTTTGAATTTATAGGGGTAAATGTACCGTATAGCCTAAAAAATGACCTTAACTTTCAACTTTGAGCCAATTTATCTCGGTTTCTGACAGCATTATGAAAAATTTGTCACGCTTAAATTTGACGGTTCGGGTGGACTTTTATCAGACGAAATACGGTAATTGTTATCGGCTGAATTTAATTTTTATGAAACTTGATGAATTCATTAGGCTTACATAAAGAGGCCAAATGGAACTATTAAAAAACATGTTTTATTCACATTGTTCCTAGTTTCTATAGAACTTTCAGAAGGGTCGTTGAATAACCGGAATTAAAAATTTTGATTGAAATATTTTAAAAATTAGTTCCGTTCAATCTCAAATTTGATTTTCAATCAGATGTGATAACATTTTTCATTGATTAGTGCTATATATGCCCACCCGCTGCCAAACTGTACATACGTGGCTCAATTTGCATTTTCCATTCAACCCGACCTCTCTCGACACAGATAACATTCAGTCAAATAAATCACATCCCTACCCTCCTAAATTAAGAAAATTCATAACATTCCTCTCTACCGAAAACCTCTCTTTTACAGATTGACATACAGACAAAGAGTTAGTGTGTCGTACTGATAAGGCCACTTAATTTCCCCGCCTTTGTCGCCCCAACATATGTAAGGGCAGCCTATTTTTTGCCCTTTCGAATTTTTCCGATACATGTTTTCGGATATAAATTTCCCAGCGACGCGCTCCAAATCGATCTTGATCTCATTAACCAAGTTTTTCGAACAAATGCGGGATAAGGTTGATTTAGTATTGTACGTAGTGCGGCGCGAAACGATGTCGGATTTTTATTGCGAAACTTTCTTAGAGGGGCCGATAAAAAAGGTGGGGTCTTTCCCCTCTTTTTGTGATTTAGATAATATAAAGACATTCGACCGACATTATATACGGACCGCGAGTGCTTTATTCAAGGCCGACCAAGTTTCGTTTTGTGTATGTGTGTGTATCAGTAGTCGTATTCGGACTGTGTGTTGTCTTGTCGTCCGTTCACTGAGACAAATGACTGCGCGGGACAAAACTGCGCGGCCGTTTTTGGGCGCAGTGGGGAAGAATAAAAATGCCCTGATCTGAAAAAGTCAAGAGTGGAAAAAGAAAAAAAATGTGATGGAGGTCCTTTCGCCCACGCACGCTAAAACGACGTTGCTACCTCTGACGACGTCAGATAATCTAGACACAGAAGAGTTGTAACGAGGGTGGTCGTAAGATGCAAGTGATTGCGAGGGGAGAGAGGCGACGATTACGGCCAAAGAGAAGACACGCAACATTTTGATAGAGTGACTGTGATAAAGAGAGCACGATACGGTATGAGAAAAGACGACAGATATGGAAGTGAGAAAAGAGAAAAGGAATTTTTGTTTCTGCGGTATGTTTCTGTTTCTGATTTTCGTTTTTCTCCCCACCATCACTTTTTTCACCACACATACACATACGTATTGTTTATTCATACTTTCTGAGTGAAACAATTGATGAGAAATTGATGGGAGGAGTAGAAGAATATGATGAAGAAGAAGACGTTGGAGAAAATTGACAGTTTTTCTTCTTAATGTGACTATTTTCCCTCTCTATCTTCTCTTATCAGGGGGCTGGAGAAGAAGGCGAAACAAGTAGCCATTTGTTTTGAGTGAATTGGTTTTTTTGTCCGTTTAAATAGCAAGCACCCGATAGTTCTATGGAATCGTTTGGGTTTCAATTTGGGTTCCAGACTGCTAACATTTTTTGTGTTAATATTGCATTCTATTAGAGAAAGACAGCTTGAGATCCGATATGTCGTTGAGTTTTTGAAGGTGCAAGAGCAGAGTACTGTATTATTTATCCCTATTTCGAGTATTATTTCTAATTTTTTTTTTCAATTTACAACAAGTTTTTTTGTGGTATAATTCAAAAAAAGGATCAAAATGATGATCATGCAAAAATGACGAGAATCGTCTAAAAATTAAGAAAATAGGAAAATAATACTTGAAAAAGACTCAAAAATACGGTAGTTTTATAATGCATCTTCAAGAAAAATATAGCAAGATATCCGTTTTCAACTATTAATTCTCACTTTCAGATGACGATAATAGTTTTTATCCGGTATCACAGGGTTTTTTCATGAATTTGAAGATTCCAATCCTCCAAATCATTTTGTAGTCCATTCGGCTCCTTGATTTTATTATTTTGCGCGGTATCCTTATGGCACTTGTAGTTCTCATCATTTTCTTCTCGGACTCTGTTCCAATATCAAATGATATCTTCCGTTCCACAATTTGACGAATTTATGCTCCAAGACATCATCTCGGAGTCTCTTCATCAAACTGACAGCGTATTATTGTAGTATATAAGTCCATCGCCTTCTCCCTCACGTAACATTTTTCCGTTTTTCCTTGATTCTCGAATAAAAAATCTCTTTTCAACCTTGTCATTCCAACCTCCTTTTTTCATGTCAGGTTTACTTCTTCTTCATTCTTTCAATTAGTGTTGGTTAATGTATTTAGACTCATTCCTTGCATACCATTCGTCTGTTCCGAGTAAATCCTGTTCGAAGACACTGAGAGAGGCGCCACCAAAAAAACCACCGCATGCATCTCATTTCCGTCGTCACGATTGCGCGTGGTTCTTGTTATCAAACGCCTCACAGTAATGGAGATCGAATTTGAATAATTGACCGGAAACCATTGTTGCTTTATGGATGATGATGATGCACTGGCAGTGATGCGCAATCGAAACTTTTGACATTTCCTTTTCTTTCTCTCTCCGAAAATCGGAATTATCTTCTCTCTCACCACCCTTCCCACCCACACACTATCATCAGGAACTAGACGATTTTCAACCCATAAAATATCCCATTCCGAAAAAGAAAACCCCTACCGTAATCCTGTTTTTTCTGCAAGTCGCCCCGATCCCATTATTCCAATAAATCAGCCACAATTTTGACTCCACCTCATTCCTGTCCTACTTCTCTTTCTCTCTCTCCATTCGGTGGTGGGTTTCCATTTTTTCTGAACTAATACGACCTTCCGTTCTTTTTTTTAGGATTCAACTATATAAATTTTCTGGAAATTGGTCTTCTTCCTTTCATTCCACCCCTTCTTCTTCCTTATTTCTGATCCATTTGTCAAAAACTCGGCCATCGTTTCTTCCGTTTGATATATTATGTTACGAAATGCCGGTGTAGGAGATGATCCAAAGATGCAAACCGTTTTCCACTCGCCCTTCAATTCGCAACTTTTATCACATCGCTTAGATTGAGATTCTTCTTTTTTCTTCGTTTTTCTTTTTTTTCGCCCGCTTCATTTTTCGGCAACAATTTATTTTCTTCGCCTCCCAGCAGCTTCTTCCAATTCCTCAGAATTGTGAGAATTGGGTTTCATTTTCGCAAAATTGAGTTTATTTTGTGGGGAGATTTTCAATTTTGATCTCTCCACCCTCTTCCAATCTGACTGACTCCTTGGTCTCCACAGCACCCAAAACAATTTTTTTGGTGTGTTGTGTTTGTTTCTGGTATTTTTTCCATTTTTCTCCCCGCACAAACCATTCTTCTTATCATTTCCGCTTCTTTGTGGTTTCCTGGGTATTTTGAACGTTATCAAGTATTTCGTCGTTTCTTATCACTCTATGCACATATACTTATATTTCAGTCAACATGAAATGAGTCGATCTAACGAGAACAATGAAAAGAAACATGTTGAGGAGGCAATGAAAAAGACGAAAAAGGAAAACAGAGGTGATGACGGTGGAAAAGAAGGAATGGGAAAAGGAACTGAAGCTGAAACCGAAAAAAATGGAGTTGAAAAAGGACAGAAGGAGAAGGAGAAGGAAGCTTCCGTGATAAATGACCCGGAATCAAGTGAAAAAGTAGGAGCTGACGTTGGGAAGAAAATGGAAAATGCCAAAGAGAAGCCGCCTGAGAAAGATCGGGCTGTCAATTTTGCCCCAGAGTCAAATGGAGGTGATGTTGAAAAGGAAATTGAGGAGAAGAATAGCGAAACGATAGGAATGGACGGTCCGACAAAGAGTATAGAGTCAAATATGAAGTGTATAGATGATGACAAAAAACACGCTGAATCTGTAAATTCCGACGAAGCTGTCAACCTTGCTGCCAGCCCAGATGGATCTGACAAATCGAACGAAGAGCTTAATTGTGTCAGTGTCGCGTCACCATCACCAGCGGATAGGAAACAATCTGTGATTCTGGAAGACATAGATAGAACGCTTGACGAGCTACAGTATCTAGCTGACGACGCATATCAAATGGCCACCCAAAGTCCAGTGAAGATGTTTGACAAGTTTTTAGAATCCAATTCCGCGTATCTGAAGAAGTGCGAGACAGTGCCGGAAAATCTAACAAGTCAACAATTTTCGGAAGACGAAGATGGAATATTGGATGAGATCGAGGAAGCTGTCAGAGACGCCGAGGACAAACTCTATCTGCCGAATCATGTGAGCGCGGTGCTCGACACGGAGTTTAGTTCCGATGATGATGGTTCCAGCGATCGATATCCGGCACTTACCAAACTGGATGAATTAAGGCAGGATGACAGTGGCCCGTCGACTTCGCTGCGCAACGTAGGCGGACATCGAGTCCGTCAACGTGTATCAAGCGTGAGTTATGGGCTTCTCGATTCTCAGGGAGTGGCTATCCTTTAGAAAATTGCTGGAGGGGCATGATTTATGACTCTTTTTCCTTTTTGAGATTGCTAAGGACTTGAGACAGTTGTCAAGCGTTCGGTCGCTTTTATTTTCTTCACGTCATGCTCCAAAGTCGTTCAGTGCCTGTTTTGGTTAGTTTCCGCTTGCGCGTTTTGTTTAGGTATCGTGATTTACCAAATTTTCTCGGCTCGTCAAAAATATCGAATATAAATTGCTCATAAACATTTCTGCTAAGAAACCCAATAATTTTTTGCTCTCTCTATCAAAAATTAAAATGAATGAGGTCAAATTCTAAGTACCGTGTTTCCTCTAAAAAACTCACCCGAGCCGTCAATGTTTGACTCATTTATCTCGATTCTTGTGGAAAATATCAAAATTTAGTCAACTGATAAAATATTGGTGGTATTATGATTGATAATTTATCAGTTAATTAATTGTTGAAATCATTCACAGAAATCGAGATAATTGACCTCAAAGTTAACGGTTTCGGTGGGATTCTGTTAGAGAAAATACAGTATATGACCAGAGTTCTATTAGATGAGGTACGACAACTTCAGTTTGGTTCATTCCTGGCAATTTCTGAGCTGGCGTGTTGGAGTCTATGCTACCCACACATCCAAAAACCTTTTTTTGTACGTCTCGTGTTTTCAGGATCGTCGCTCCATTATCTCCGGTCACGAAAGAGCCAGAAGCAACGATTCGAGAGCTACAAGCATCTTCTCCTCGTCCATCGCCTCTTTTCGCCGACCCATCTCCCATTTCTCAATCGACAATTCCTGTTTTGATATTGCCGACGCTCCAACCCAACGATCCTTGATGTGCACTCCGGTTGAAAAGGTTTGGTTCTTCACTATAATTCTTGAAACCCCCCATCAAAGTAGTCGTTCAATTAGTGTATATGTCGGAAGGAGCTTGGGCACAAAAAAGGCATTTATTTCTGAGGGGAGCGAGTGGCAGCATTAAGATTTGTCGAGAAAAGACGTGTATCCCATCTTTGCCCAGCTTCTCCTCCTGGCGCTAGATGTTCTTCAAATGCCTCATTTTACGAGAAGAGGTCATTTTTCGACCAGAGCTCTTTTTTTCGTCCTAAATTGAGAAGAGAAATAGATCTTTTTTCATTTCTTTACACTTGTAAATATATCCTTCCTTTCTTGTGTTCTAAGGATGAACTGTTTCAAATGGGTAGGTGCTCTTATCTTTTGCTTATATTTGAATATTCACAACTTCCTCAATCATTTTCTTTTCAGCTATTTGTGAAAAACTCTCGTTCTGCACCTGAGATGCGTGTAAATGATACCAAGACTAATCCATTCCTGCCATCACCTTCTCCATCAAACGATGCAACAACAACGACTAGCGATGTTTGTGATCAGAAAGGATTTGTTACAAAAATATAAAAATGTTTATTTTTTAGCCCAGCGTCTCTTCCGAACTGTCCGTCGAGCAACCTACACAACCATCTGTAGTCAACTTGAGACTCCGTTTGAGCGAGGGATTGACTGAGACGGTTTCTCCAGTTTCATCTCCAGTTATGCAGTCAAAGGTAGTTCATGACTAGAAAAGACCTAATTTGATTTTCTGAAGCTTATAGGCTGCCAAGAAGAACAAAAACGAAAATCAGCAGCTGCTCAAGAACTCGGCCAGCTCGCCAAATATGAATTCGACAAATCTCGTGGTCAACACCACGCGACCAGAAGATGTATGTTATAAAATTCTCTCTTTGTTATTTACTTTTTTGTCTGTAGTGGGTGATAGTCAGAAACCGTCTGTATTTTTGACAATCTTGAAAAACTACAAAATTTGTATTTTTTAAGAAACCAGGAGGAAATTGGGAGGGGCTTGATGCTCGAGAGCTCTTTTATAGCCGCACTCCTGATTCTTAGATTTTATTATTGTTCCGGTTTTTCTTCAATTTTTCCACAATTCCGAAAAATGAGCGAATCCGAATGTGGAAGCTGTGACACGTATGTGTTTTCCGAAGACTCCGTATTCGAGGTATTCATCCGAAAAATATATTGTCTTCTATTTCTTGTAGTTTAGCACCGGAAATGAGACGTTTTTATCCGACGCTAAGAAAATGGAACATGGTAAAAAAAAAAACTAACCAATTTCCGGCAGCACTTTCTTTTTTTCTTTGCAGCGCCCCCAAAAATGCATTGTCAAAAAAAAACTTTCAAATTTAACGGGGGTGGATGTTGTGAGAAAGGGAGATGTGATCGGTGTATTTCAAACTTTCTAGAGATTTGGGAATTTGAGTCAACCTTTGACAGATCAAGCACAAACCACACTTACCAATTGGTTGTGCCAGAATAATTTAATCAACCTACTACATAGTAGATGCAATAAGAAAAAAAGGACTATATCAAATAAAGGAAAAACGTGAAAATTCGCAATTTGTTTTAGGTAGAGGACGAGATTGAGGCTTCAAAATTGGAAAATAAGCGGAAATTCGAGGTGGTGACCGTGAAAATCGGTAAAGTCGAGTTTGCAAAGGCACCAAAGAAACCTTTGTATGTGATGGCCAAGTTTGATGGAAAAGATGTTCATAGATCGTTGCAGCTTGAGGGGTGAGTTGGACGAAATAAAAAAAAATTGATAACTTTTGACGTATTAGGTTGGTCCATAAGTTTCTTTCGATTTTGAATGTTAAATTTCAAAGATTCATATCTGGCCAGTGGGACTATATTTCCTGGTGGATGTTTTTTTGTTAGGTTGAGTATCTCATGGACTTTCTGTACAGATTGTCTTATTCCTCCTCCTTGTCGTTCGGGAGCATGCCGCTTTCTTTCGATCCTTACCGTCAACTCTTTCAAAATGTCATTTTGTTTTTATTCCTTCCTGGTTAAACGAGGCATGTTATCCACAAAAAATTGAAAGAAATAGATAAAGAGGGATCTCTTACTACCACCAAGCATGGGGCCGATCGATTTGAAGCCAAAAATTTGGAACTGGAAGACGAAGCTCGGACCGGCCTGTTGGCGGCGTCAAAATTTTGGTCGATTCGTAGCCTATGCTTTGAAGGATGGTGATATGGATCGCCGTGTAGACTTGGGCATGTTTCTCCCATTACTTCTTGACACGTTCAGTTGGGTGAATGATTTAATTACTGTAGAAGAGAAATGGGTGAGCTGCTCTAACAATGTGCGGAAGGGTTAGTCGACTGACGAAAAACAGCTAGCTCTGGACATACCGGAACCTGAATTTCCTGAAAAATGGGGATGCTATATTTTTGATGGTCTTTTAAATGAATAGAGACAGAGAACGTTTAGGTGGAAGTATTAATATAACTGCTGTTTCGTATATTTCATAATTAGAAAAATTGAATTTGGCAGTCGAATCGAAACAAGGAGAAAAGACAAAGGTTTACTTCCAACACGACAGTGCGACATTGCCTGTCACCAGAGGCATCAGCCAAAATCTCATGTCGTTTGGCTGGACTATACTTTTGCACCCATCGTATTCTCCGGACCGTGGCCTTTTGGATAAATGGTTGGTCGAGATTCTAAAAGACCATCTTGATAGAAAAAACTTCGATTGAAAAGATGACTTCAAAAAGGAGTTCACTCACTTTTCCAACCGTAACCCTCCTCGTTCTGAGCCGATGGGATCAAGAAATTACCAGAAGGTTGGCAGACAACTATCGATGCTCATGGACATTACTTTCATTAATCTAGCCCCCTCCGCTCTGAGAAAAATTTGATCAAAAATTTGACCAAAATCGAAAGAAACTTATGGACCAACTTAATATTTTCAGAAATATTAATTTTTGAGGTATGGTTTTCCAAAACTTTGAAAATATTGACGCTAGGCATTATCTTAGTTGAAAAGCTGACAAAATATTAGTCGATTTGGAAGTGAAAAAGCTACGGTTATACTGTAATTAGTCTCAATGTTTGTACTTTGCTACGCGATAGTACTCTCTTATGGTCCTACTTTGAGCTCAATTAGCTCAATTTATCAAAAAATATAGAAAATCTGTAAACCACGAAATTTTGTGCAGGAAATGAAAATCATTTTAGTTGTTGACAGATTTTCGATATCACCTATAAGAATCGGAATAATAGAGCTCAAAGAAGAACATTTATGGCAATGAAAGTATTCTGGTGTGTGTCATACTCTCTGTAGATTTTGAAAGGAAATGATTAATATTTTTGATTGAGTATCATCGTTGTCTAGAACAAACATATTGATATCGATAACAATAGCGAACTTATGAATTCTGAAAGCGTATTTCAGATATTATTTTCCTTTTTTTTCACTTTTAGAATATAAATTGAAAAAAAGACATAGTTATGAAAATCATTCAATCGTCCAAAAATTGAGAAAAAAAAGAGAGAGTAATATGTAAAATAGGTTTGAAGAATACGGTAATTTGCTCTTTGGGCTTTTAAAAATCTTAACGAGATATCCGCACAAAAATTTTATTAGAAGGTCATCTGAAATTGAAGGGCTCCTCTCATAGAAGTGTGACCGGTCCTTCTAATACAGGTTGTACGGTAATTAAGATCAAGCGCCTAGTTAGAAATAGTATGAATTATTTTTATGATTATATTTCCTGATGTTCTGAACAAAACTCTTGTCCCTTTGGGCAATTCAGAATACTTCCTCCTTCTGAAATAAATTCAAACTAAATCTTCCAATCCCTCTTATCAAAAGTGATACCACTAAAAATTCAACTCACTTCCGAATTGATCATACTAAAAGGCGTTAAGTGAGTGAGAGGAATATTCTCATCTTGCTTAACCAAATTATCTCATTTTTCACACTCCTCTTGTCATTCATCTTCCTTCTCAAATTGAATCCGATTAGGTGTTCCCACGCATACAACAAAAGCAGTAAATTTATACAATGTACGCCCCCACACAACAATCGTCCTCTCTCCAATTTTCTTTCAAATGTGTTTTTGACCGGCACCACGCCTTATTTGTTGTTGCGAATCTATATTTTTCTGAGCAGCAGCAACAGCTCTTTCGATACTTTCCGTCCTCAATAGAATAGAAGCGCCGCCTGAGCCCGCAAAAATAGTGTTGACAGCAAAAATGATGATGATGATGTTGGGTGCATAATTGAAGGCAATTTCGATCGCTATTAAATAAATTTCCTTTTTGCAGAGAGAATCTGTCCCACGAGTTTTCTGTGGAGACGACCGATTCATTCTCAAATTTGCATCTCGTCTTCCTCGAAGGTTTGTTCATTTTTATTTAATTATTCATTCTCGGAAAAAAAAACTCTATAGGTCATAGAACAAGACAACAACTTCTGCCGATCGACCTAATTTGAATTCATGGCATTTCAAATTACATTTTCTAATTGTTATGCTAATTCTTTGGGGGCAAAAAGTTTCGTTTTTCTACCTGCTACGTACATAGCAAACCAAACAGTTTTTTTTTCGTAGTCTGTTCTGACCCTTTCCGAGGCGAACCCAATTTATGATCATTTCGCCAACTAGTCTCGATTCCATTTTTCATCATCAAACATCGCACAGGATCCAAAGCAAAAGTGGCTCGTCCCGTGGGAAAGGTGTCGATTGCGAAGAAAGAGCTGGAGGTTGGAACTCCACTCGAACAAACCTTGAAACTGTGTCCTGTATCCAAGTATCCGGACTTTTGCGGTCAGATTTGTGTGGAGATTCGTCGCAGGGCTGGCGCCTTTTCATTGAGGTTAGTTTAAAAATTTGAAAACTCAAAATCGGTAAAAGTCTTTGTGAGAGAAAAATCAGAATTTTTCTGTTAGAAAATTTTAAAGTAAATACATCAGTCTGCTCGTTCAATGATTTAATACTTTTTTCTCAAAATAATCCATCTTCGACAAATTAGGGCCCAAAGGCCATTTACAGTTTGAAACCTAAAACCACGCGCCTTATCGCAAAGAAAAAAAACCGGGAAACATTTACGTGCTGAACATATGTTTTTTTGAGTGGTATTTACCCTCAATATCATTCCAGCCAACCTTATTTGCACATCGTCTTAAATTCTTATCATACTCGTCTCCCTGATTTTTATATAAGACAATAATTTCCGTTACTCCGCATTTTTTGTTTCCTCCCGAAAAACTTCTTTTTCATTTTTGATCGAGCACCTGCACGGGAGTATGTTTTTTTACCCGATAGAAGTTCAAACATCCCAGCTTTTTTTGTTTTGTTTTTTGAGATTCCATTTGCCAGTGTTCAGCCAAGCATAAATACCATCAAAAGAAAGTTTATAAATATAAGAATAATGGGGACGAGAAGGAAAAATTAGGGCACTAATAGGCCATTTCACGTCACAAACCGATTTAAAACAAATTTTGAAACGTAACCGTTATTTGAAAAGCTCGAAATTTATTGAAGCATCTATCAATGCTAAGCATAATATCCCTATTTAAATGTAAGTGACAAATCCCTCCATTTCCTTCATTAGGATTTTTAGCACTCAAAATTCAGAGTAGAAAGTACTGAACATCATATTTGAAAAGTCCAGCTACAAGAATAGGATAGTGTCTTGCAAAAAAGAAACAAATCGCGTTAATCCCTAGAAACCAACAAAAAAAACCATAAAACCTGTGTTTGAAGAGTTCTGTCAACTTTGATCCATTTCAGTTATGTTCCTGTGAAAGACAAAGTGCTCTTCTTTTCGAGATTTTGGCTCATTTCAATGTGAATCATTATACAAAACGCCTTTTCGAAAAAAAAAACAAAAAAAAAGTTATTATTCTTTGTAGTACCCAGAGATTATATTCGAATACTATTTTTCATGTTTTGAGTTTTCCTCCGAACTAATCCTATTCTTGTTCCCTCCAAATGTTCTCTCCGCCAAACACTTTTCAACCCTCTCATCCGAAAAAGGACATTCCCACCACACCCATTTCGCCATTTTCACCCATTCTTCTCACCCATTTTTCATCGGTCCTTTGTCTTCTTCTTCTTCTCTCCGCAATTTTCTTCTCAACAAAAAGCGACAAGGCGTAGTTCCAAATGTTCCCTAAATTGCTGGGTAGGGGAAGAAAGACGTGATTTCTTGCAATTGAATGCTGCTGCGTTTTGCACAAATTCAGCTTAGTTCTTAGTACATAAAACAAAAAAAGTTTTTGTTTCCTCTTGTTTTTCTTTGAAGACATTTTTTCCATCACTTCCGGTCATATGAACTGAAAAAAGAGTTGTAACTTGTGAAAAAACTCATGAGTGTCTTTTTCTTTTCTTATCAAAACAACCAATAAAAATCAAATCCCAAAGATCTTAGAAAATAGAAATCTCTGAAAGCAATTACCTCATGGGTTCCCGGAACATTATTGCTTCCGAATAACAATTTTTATGCCATGTTTTTCTTTCTGCTTGACCTGTCACATTCCCCCATTTTTTTTCTTTTTTGTAGGCCGGATTTAGTATACGCCTACATAGTGCCTATTTTTACAGATAGTTTTGTAGTTCCTTCTTTTTTCAGTTTCCTCTTATTCCAGTTGCTTTTTTCAGTTTAGTTTTTCAGTTTCCTTTTTCAGAGAAAAATATCTCATTTCTTGTTCATCAAACTTGACACCGTTGGCTCTAAAGATAGCCTCCAGGCGTTAATGAAAGAAAAAGCTTCCCTCAAAAAGAAACAGGGAAGTTCCTTTTTTTGAAATATCAGAGCATCTTTTGAAATATCTGAAGCAAGTATCTAAAAGATAGAGAAAAAATCAAAAAGTTCACGTCCTACTCCACCACTTCCGATGCACGATTATCAATCACTCCTTGAACTTCCCCTCTGCTCCCATCTCGACCTTTTTTCTATGAGATATATATTCAAAGATTTCTTGTTGAGAAAGTGAGAAAGAGAAAATAAAGAGAGAGGGACCGGAAGTCGTGGGTAGCACACACTGATATTGTGATATTAATGAAGGTGACATTGCACCGCAAGTGAGCTGCTCTTTCTCTCCTCTCCCTCGAGCAAACAGATGTTTGGCACGCGTCCACATCTGATCGGGTGCCCCGTCCGACAGACAAAATGTTTTTTTCTCACCTGCGTGGGAGTTCCTTCGTTATCTTAACTTTTTTGACATTGCTCCTTTAAACTTGCATTTCCCATTTTGACATGACTTCTATCTAATTGCTCTTTTTTCAATTGGAACGGAAGGCGGGGGTAGAGATAAAACTGAGAAAATGCGGCAATTTACAAAGAAGAAGAACAAATTGGCGTGAAGAAAGCAAAGAAGAGGAAGAGCGCAATAAAATATGAATTACACCTTGTACCCCCGCGTCTCCTATCCACCAGGCTCACAATTGCTTTGTCTTTTTGTCGGCAAGTTGAATTGAAATGAAGAAAAGTTCTTCTCTTCCAGTCTCTCTTTTTCTCCGGAAGTTTGGTGAGAGTCCCGTCAGCATTTTTGACTCTGTTTCATTGAGAGCCGAAATTGTTTGGAAGGGATGATTGACCCAGACTCACGAAATGACTCACAAAATAAATTCTGGAGGCTTCAATGCTCTGGCAGCCGCCTGAAGTTCACGAATAATTTTTCAAATTCCCTCATGCGGTCAATTTCTAATTAATTTTCGTTAGTTCTTTGCCATAAAGTTTTTATGAAGTGGACCAAAAAGACTATTGGAGAAAATGAAGATCAATTAATTCTAGCTAGTTTTTGAAAATGAAAATGAGTTTTCTCGCTTTTTTAGATAATTTTTCGAGTAATGTGAGAAAACAATTTTTCTAAATTTTTCTCAAATTTCCGTCTATCTTAAAACTAGAAAACTGAAATTGAAGAACTAGCATCTAAGTTAAAAAAGCTCCACTTTCAAGCGACTCTTCATTGAGAAAAATTTCACGGATTTTTCAAAAAAATTCTTGGCTTTCATATTTACTGTATATGCTCTATTAGAATTCCATTGAAACCATCAATTTTGATCTCAATTATCTATGTATATTCTTGTGAAAAATACAAAGAACTTGTCAACTGATAAAATGTTGGTGATACTATGACAAACATTTTATCAGTTAACAGATTTTGATGATCTTTTTAAAAATGGAGATAATTGAGCTCAAAGTTGACTGTTTCGGTAGCCTTCTATTAAAGCAAATACGGAGTCGTGAACCCAATATTATTTTGAGTCAACGGTAATAATTCTGAAACGTTTCAGTTTCACAACGCTTTTCAATAAATTTGATATCCTAAAAACCAGTCCTCCAGAAAAAAGTTTATTTTCACACTTTTGCTCTTTTTGCCGAAAATCTTTCATCTTTGAAAATGAGTGAAATTTGAAACTTTTTTTTTCACTCTTCTTTTTTTTCAATTTAGCTCTTTCGGAACTCCCAGTCGCCTACATCTGGAAAACGCATTTTTCGATCAACTCTTCTCTCTCACACTTATTTTTATTATTTTCTCTCGTTTTTCCTTTCCGACACCACTCTGATCTTGGCTCCTTTTTATCACCCTCTCAAGAGATTGGATCGAACCATATGATTGCTCGAAATATCTCAAGAGTCGCTGGCTTCTGCGAGTTTTTTGTCTGGTTTTTGTAAGGATGACCCGTTGGGCCTTGTAGTTTGTGATCTGGAATTTTTATTGGGATCATTGCAACAGATCAACAGCTTACTGAGAAATTGAAAAAAAAACGTTTAAAATTTTCGAATCGAAAATGAAAAACAAAGTCATAACTTTTCGGGCCATCTGGTCATAAATTGTGAATCCATAGGCTCTAATTACCTATCGGGTAAGATAACACAAATGTGCCGACGTTTTGTCGCGAACTATTAAAATAAATTTAATCTAATGGCAAACACATTTTGCGGGAAACCGGGCACCCGCTGTGTTACCCCTGGGGAAGTAACCTAGTGTTTTTGTCACCAATCTTCTTTACTTCTTACCCTCCTACTCACCCCACCAAAACCATCCAGACCGGGTTGTCACCGACAAACTGTTCAAATAACCCGCCCCCGCTGCTAGACGACGCTTTCGAGTACTTTTTGTGATCTTCTTGTTGTGTATGTGTGTGTTTTTCTGTGTCTTGCTAAAACCGAACACACATGCGGATCATAAATTTTGTAAAACATGTGGGGTCTTCCTCATTTTTTTACTTTTAACAATGTATTCGTACTACTAATGAAATTAGTCATCCGCTGCTTCATTATTCATGCTCCCCCTTTGTCTGTTCCGGGCTACGGTAGATATAAAACCAAAAACATGCTTTCTTATGTTTCATCTAGCTATGACACCCCCGCAGTTTTATATTTCCGTCTCCATTTTTCGACATATTTGTGTCTTGAAATTTTTTCCCCGTACGCCCGCGCTCATTAGAAATTGTAGCAGTTTAAGAAGAGGGAGCCGCAGAAACAGACGGCGCCGCTATATGAAAATATCTTATAAATAGACTTTGTCTCCTCCCCTCGACGCCCCCACTCGCATTCAAATTTGAAGTAGTATAAATTTCAAGTCTTGTCTAAATTCAAATTAGTATTTTTCTCCTTTCTCAAATGCTTAAGAATCCAGAATCCAGAATTCAGAAACTGAAACAAAAAACCGGAAGTTTTGTTCTTCCCATTCGAGATTTTACATGAATAGAAAATCGAGAACAAGAAGAATATTTTTATGGATTCTTGTTTTTTGAAAGCATCCTACTTGAATATTCAATTTTGTTTTTTTCCTCCCCCTCGACTCACCACCATAAACTTAGTTTTCTCAATTTCCGCAAGATCGTCTGCTTCCTCATTTCTTTCTTTGAAGATTCCAAATCATGGCAAAAACGAAATAAGGAACGTTCGTTTTCGCTAACGTCATTTTGTAAACACCTCTTTTGAGCACAAAGCCGTTGAGTAAGCATGGAAATCGGAAGAATTCTTGTTCTCTTGTTGTGATTTATAGTAGCTTTTTTGTTTCTAGTCCACAATTTTTCAAATTCTGAGTACTTCGCACTATTAGTATCCCTCTTCTCTCTTGCACAACTTTGTGCTCAAACAAAATTTTTTTTTTCACAAAAGTTTGAGTTTCCTTTGCAGAGTCGTCGACTACGGTGGATTGAAGTTAAAAGACAACCAAACACTTCTTCTGCTAGTCTCCGAAGTTTCCAACTCCAGTGTAAGTAGTCCCCTTTTTTGTTTGTTTTTTTACTCCGCCCACTCCTCTCACTGCTTCTAAAACGTCTTCGTTTCTTCAAGGAAGTCGGCAAGCTACCCATTGACACAGAGGAGAAGCGCAGCAAGGAATGGTTAGAGATGCCATGTGGTGACGGAATGCTCTCGCTGAAGTTTACGCTGTGGCAGGATCTTCTAAAGGGTATGAACTCAGTTTTTCACGGACAAGTTCGCGTCGACATTGACGAGAATTGGAAGTTGGGACCAGCCAAGTGGTTCTATCTGCGACCGAAGGGTCAAGAGGAGACCGACGGTGGGAAAGTGGAGGAGATTGGTGAGATCACGTTGAAGACTACCTATCAGGTGGACCATATTCTCAAGATGAAGTATTACAAGTGAGTTTGACGTTTCTTGGATTTCATGTTAGTAAAGAAATTTTTGACTTCAAACTTAGAAAATATTTTATTCCTAAAATTTCCCCAAAACCTGTCATAGAACGGTCCTGTAACTTTAAACTCTGAGCGAATATATCTTGATTCCTGTTAAAACTATGAAAAAGTTTAAACCGACAAATGTTTTACCATAATATCAAAAACATTTTATCTATTGACAATATTTCGATATCTTGTACAGCGGCCAAGAAAAATTACATCAAACTTTACGACCCTTCTATTAGAGGTTTCACAGTTCATTCCTTCCATTTTCAGACCTCTTCTGGATCTTCTTTATCAATCCGGAGAAGTCCAACCACTTACCGCTTCCCTTGTCGCTGTTATTGAGTCGCTTCCCAAAGTGGAGCTCACCCCGATATCTCGTTCTTTGGTTGAACTTCTCGCCCAAACCGATCACATTCGCCCGGTTCTCAGCTCGCTCTACGTCAACAGTATCTTGAAATGCCAGTGAGTCACTGTACAATTAGGCAAAGACAAAATAACTATCTTTTAGGGACGAGAACACCTTGTTCAGAGGACAATCATTATCTGGAAAGATGTTGTTTGAAATGCTGATGACTTTCGGAAAAATGTACCTGATCTCAACACTAAAGCCAGTTATAGATAAAGTATGTAACGCAGTCATAAAATTTGAAATTAGAAATTCCTCATTCAAGATCTTCAAAGAGCGCAAGAACTGTGAAGTGGACCCATCTAGAGTGCTCGCCGGAGTTTCTGTAGAGAAGAACAAGATCAATCTTCTTGTATATTTCCAAATGCTCTACGAGGCTGTTACTAGTAGCTCTGCCAACTGTCCACACATCATCAAGGAGCTCCTGTACGATCTCCGTAAGGTTGTTGGAGAGCATAGTGAACGCCCAGGAGTTCAACGTCTTGCTGTCTCCTCATTCATAATTATGCGTTTCTTCGCCGCCGCCATTCTGAACCCAAAAGCCTTCGAAGTCCGCAAAGATCTCCCAGACAATCGTGTCTCCAGAACTCTTCTCCTTCTTTCCAAACTGCTACAGAGACTGTCGAACTGTAGTGTTAGCGACGGACCATTATCATCAAAGGAAATATGGCTGAATGGAGTTTTTGAGACAGTAACCAGCACTGAGCACAAGACTGTCATGGCGAGCTTCCTGGACAACATCTCACTTGTTGGAGATCGTGTGGACCCACAAAGATGCACGGTTTTCAAGTTTGGAATGCTGATTCAAGTTGATCGTAACCGTATGGGATGGAAGAGGGTTCTTCAGGCAAAACGGCGATATGTTCAATTGACGAGTACAGAAATCAGCTGGCAAAAGGATGCCCATTGCCCACCGAAGGGAATCATTCTACTCACGGATATCAAATCGGTTGCTGTGGATAACAAACATATCATCACAATAGCCGCAGACCCATTACCTATCCAATTTGAGGCACCGGGAGTTGTGGAGGCCAATGACTGGTACTGTGCAATTGAAAAACAACGAAACCGTGCTCTCCATGGAGATGATGACGAGTCTGAAAATTATTGCACTGATGCCGAACGCCACGTTGACAGAATCCATGTGAGTTTTGTGTTTGAAGAAGTTTCCAGAAGCAAAACGACGATTTTTCCAGGCTCTTCTTTTCAAATATCGTGACACGATGGTCGAGTGGAGAGACCAACTCCAATCGGATGCCGAGTTCGACGAGAAGACACCGGAACTGCTCAAAGCGAGCTATGTCGTTGAGAGGGACCGACAAGCGCACAAAGAGTCCCTTATTGCGACCCTTTGTGCAACCATCGAAGTCACTGATGCGATTCAACGAGCCCATGAAGAATACGAGAAGGAGAACAATGTAAGTTGAAAAGAGCTAGTTAGTACAAGATAAGATATAATTGGTTCTCTTTCAGGAGGCCGTGAAAATTGAAGAAATCGTGCCGGAGACTAGTCAAAAGTGAAACTGATGATGTCCAATCCGCATAATACAAAATCAAATTTAGGGTCATAATTTCCATAATTCCAATACAACCATAATTCCATTTTTACCTTTCAAATGCTTCTCACCTGATGCTTATTACTGTAATTTCCTTTCTTTTTTCTTGCCTATCCCGACATAATAGCTCCCCCTTCCATACATTTTTTCCAGTAGCCGGTGCGAATTTAAAATCGATCTTAAAGACATTTTGTGATTCTACACCACCCGACCAAAGAATTACATCAAAACATATATAAAGTTGCACCCAAACCATTCCAAACTTCCCGAAAACAAGACTCACTGTAGTATTACTTTTTGCCCAGGCCAAAGCTACGCCATCAACAACAAACCTGTTATTTTTTCACAGTTTCTCGATCTCGAAAAATTTTTCACCCCACAAAAACTTCCTTTCCCATTAAAGAATAACTATATTTGTCTCTTCCTACAAAAATCCAAAAATCCCTTTGTTTGAATTCCAACATATATTTGTCAATGCTTTCAAATGTGCTTCTCGGAATAAATAAATGAATTTATGATATATATTTTATTGGTGGCATTAAATTTAAGCTAATAAATGCGAACTGATTCCTTCAGAAACCGCCAATGAAGTTTGGAGAGTGAGACGAGCGCATTCCTGGCCAATTTGAAGGGATTCAACGACTGACTTGTTATGTACAAGTCCAGCAATCACTCCACTGTTGAAACTGAAACATAAATTGAATATTAAAAACATTTTTTCAAAACCTTGAAAGCAATTCAAGACCATTGTAAATTAGTTGATTGAGAAAGTTTTGGTATTTCTTATGAGTTGAAAAATGATGAAACATAATCAGAAAAATCTTTATAAAATTTTCGAACTCAAAATCTTAAAATTAGTTGTTTTAGTAATTCGAAAATTCGGAGTTGTCCCATTTTTTTCTTTCATAAGAAGCAAGATACGCTCAATCTTGACAATGCGAGGCCCTTCTATTACAAATATCACGATATTCTTGAACAAATCGATTTTTAAAAATTACCTGTCTCCAGCTCCGGACACTGAAACAATTTTATCCATTTGAAGAGGTGGAGGAAGTGATTGGAACTCGAGCTGACCCAAATCATTCCTGAAATCTCACTAAATTTTAAACGCCTTCTTTAAAAGCGCTACCTGTACACTACTGCAGATCCCTTGTGTGCCAGTGTCACCACAAACACAGACGTGTTCAAAAGAAGCTTTGTCTTTTCCCTCTCTATCAATTCCAAAACATTATCGGCGGTGTCAATTACGAATGGATCCAATCTGACGTTGCACAGTTTTGCCCATTTCAGAAACTCATTCCCGTTTGGCGATGCGGCGGTAACTGCACCAACAAGGCCAGTGTCAAAGACTTTTTTCACCTTGTCGAGATCAGTGGGCTCGAACCATACTGAAAATATTAAATTTTGATTTCGTTCGCTAAATAAAATTATGGATACCTCTCTTGTTATGTTTCTTGGCAATTTCTAAGGTTTTCATCATTACCGGAACGGGAAGATTGGCATCAAGAAGGATGAAGTCAGCACATTCTAGGACATCTTCGTTGCTTTCAACCTGAAGTGTGCTTGTGGGTTACACTGAAGAAACTTGAGTTAATGTTATGAAGAGTCTTTTTTAATTGGTGAAGGTTTCACTGAAACACTGGTTGCCGTGTATCAATCCGTCCTCAAAATCCAGAAACGCTTCGGGATTCTAAGCCTCCGTCTCCTATTTTTAACAGTGATAGTTCAATCAGAAGACTGCTTGCTCGACGTTTTATAACTTTGGCTTTCAGACAATACTATTCAAATGCTTTAAATTTACAGCAAAAGTATTAGCACAACCCCCCCCCCCCCAAAATAATCACCCTGTGATCTCAAGTATCTCTATTTCTGTAATAGATATCAGAAACTTATCAACTAATAAAATGTTAATTATAATATCACTGACATTTTATCAGTTGACAGATTTCGATATCTCTTTTTAAAATTGAAATAATTGAACTCAAAATGATAGAGTGGCATTCTTTTAAGGTATTTATGGTAGCTTCTACCCAGTTTATTTTGACTTGTGGTAAAAATACTAGAAAGTGATCTACGAAAAAAACAGTTTTGATACGGTAATGAACATTTTTCAGTTGACCACTCTGATATATTTTTCATAAGAAACGAGTCTAACCGTCCGTCAAAATTGACGGATAGAGGGCGATTTTATTAGTGGCGTCTTTGGATGATGTCGTTTCTTTGAATGGATTTGTGGTAGCCGATTATCAGCTAAAAAGGGCGTGTCTTGTATAATGGTATCAAGAAAACAGTGGCTGTGCATGAAGAAAAAACTGATAGCGGTGGCTCAAAGTCTCAGAAAAAAAAATGAAGTGAACTGAAAATTGATATAAATTTTCGATTTTTTTGATTTATCAATTCTCCTTGTTTTTCTATTGTATACCGTCAAAAAAGTTGGGAAATTGAAACTTTATACGAAAAATTGCCGGAAAACGAAAGAAAATCGAGAAAAAAAGCTATCAACTACCAGCTTTTTCTCCGTACTGATTTTCCAAGATCGGTTTAAAACTTGCTCACCATTTTTCCTTAAAAATATGTGATTTCTGAATACAGTATCTTACCAATGCTGGAGTCAATGAGTTCAACAGAGGTTCACAGGTCACGATTCCATATCTAACATTCCCACGAACATTAACAGCTAGATAAGTACACGTTGGCTTGTGTGGTATCACTTTCACTCTATTGACATCCTGAAACATAGCTAAATGATTTTTGATCTCTGTCTCTAATTATTCACAAATTGATCGCTGTGTTGGCGGAAGAATTTTCCGTTCTGATCATCTCCAATTGCTGAAATGAACACTGAATGGCAACTCAATCTGAAAACATAAAGTATTTTGTCTTTTCATTCTGTTTTCGATCTACTGTGGGCAGAGCGTAAATGAAAAAGACTAACCTTTACTCAACGATGTAACATTAAAAACCAATCAGCTAACAGTACGGTGCTCTTTTTTGAATGGAGATGTGTTAAACGTTTCATCGTTTATTTCTCATTCTATTTTTATATTATGACATTTTATACAAATTTTCTCAAGTTTTTGAAGATCGGAAATTTACAATACTATTTTCTCTCAAATAGAAAGCCACACCATACGCACAATTTTTGCTCAATTGTCTCGGTTCCGATAAGAGTTATCAAAATTTTGTCAACTGATAAAATATCGGCTTATCAGTTTACAGATGTTTGGTAACTCTTATACGAACTGAGATAAATGAGCTCAAAGTGCACGTATCCGGACTGCTTCTATTAAAGAGGATGGTATTTAGATTTCACTACAAAAATATATTTCTCTTGGAAAAAACTCATTCAAATGCTTTTAGCGCGCTTCAAAATGAAGCACATTTTAATTTACAATTGTCACTGACCTTCCCAGCGCCTCTGCATGGTTTCGGGCTACACCACCCATTCGTTGAACCACTTGTCCATTATACGACCCTCCATCGTCCTGAAAAAAGACAACAAATCTTTTCCATTTTCAAAAACAAAGGCAAAAACAAAAACGATTTTTGATATAGTTCTCCTCACTTTTTCTTTGGGACAGGCCCTAGAATATTGATCTATCAAACGTGTGACACAACATTGGAATTGATACTTTATACAAATAGGCAAACGAATCAGAAAGCTAGCTGTCTCATCGGCAGGGCCGGAAGCTGGCTGTTGCTTCCACACAGTTTTTGCCCCCTCTCTGTCTCTTTATGTTATTTCTTCTTTCACCTCCTCCCGTCTTTTTTCCCGATCAGTCCTCGTGAGGAGAGAACCATCAACCATCTTGACTGAAATCATTTCCTCGTAAAGAAGAAACAAACACGTCTCTGTTTTCCGTTCTCGAATTTTCATTTCTTTCGAATTTTTTTCCATCAAAAATTTCCTGAAACATTTGATCAAATGATTTTTCAAAATTGTTATATATTTTCTTTTGTCACATTTTTTATTCATCATTCAGTTTTCCAGAATGCGGTGTGGGAAGGCCGCATGGCTCTATGGGACCAATCTCATACTCCTTCTGGGCGCTCTTGTGTTCCTCGTGGCCACTACAGTCATGCTGACGAATCCACTGTTCGTATTGATCCCGATCCACAAATATGACCCATACGTGCTCGGTTACTGTCTTATCAATATTTGTCTGGTAAATTTGAACTTTTCGCCGTCGTTGTTCTCTAGTTTGAATCATTTCTCCAGGCATTCCTTTGTGTTGCGTCGATTGTGGCCATTCGACAGCGACAAATTGCCATTGTCGTGTTCTGTCACTGGTTGACATGTTGCACACTTGTCGTCGACGCTATCATGATTTTTGTTTTCGCCAATCTCATGTCCACCGCGCACACCTCGTTGCATTCTCACATTCAAGTACTTCATAAAAGCAGCGTAAGTTGAGAAGAGGTTGAGAAAATGTTGACAGTCAATGATCAACCAGTAAAGTTTTTAAAAATGTGGTTTCAGATAATACAATTCAAAAGTAACGGAAGACTTTTCAATTTTCGATCACAGCCGTAATTTCTCTAGAAACCCACATTACACGTGTACTATAAGCTTAATTATCTCGGTTCTTTCAAACGTTCAAAAAAATTTTTTGACTGATAAAGTATTCAAAACAGTATCATCTATCGGTTGAAAAATTTTTCTAACTTTAGAAGCAACCACGATGAATGAGCTTGAACTACACGTACAGAAAAGGCTTCAATTTGAGCAGTTACGGTGTAGAAGTGAAAACGGTATTCCTCGGAAGCTTATCAAATTCAAAAAATATGGGTTTACTGAAAATGAATTAAAATAGCTTTATTGACAATCTAGTTACGGAAGTTAAGAATCAAATTCTAAACTTTTCTGGCATTGTAGCCTTATTTCTAGACCGAGTTTAGAAATTGTTGTTTCAAAAAATATTGTAACAACTACAACTAACTAGTCACAGCTATAGATACAATCGAGCTTCTTCAAAAAACTATCAATTTCACCATTCTTGTTAACCGAAAACGTTTCAGAAAAAACTCTGTCCAGTTTGGGATCATGCCTATCACACGCTTTCTTGCTGCCCAACCAAGGAAGTTCTCAAAACTTGTTCTGGTAGTTTCTTTTTTATTTTGAATTTTTTATTTTCATCCACGATCATTTTAGATTTCCTCAACGCTACCAAAATACTCTGTCACACCGACCGCTCAAACGATTGCTATGTTCACATCAAAAAGTGAGAAAAATCTATCAAAACATTGAATCCTAAATTGATCTATTTTTAGATGGCTCCATTCCAACACAGAAATTATAGGATGTCTAGCATTCTGTCTCATGGCACCTGTCAAGATTTTCATGCTTGTTGCACTTCGCAAAGATATTGAGAAGGTTGAGACTGAAATGGCAGAGCTGGAGTATTACTCGCAGATGATTAATGATTAGTGAGTCTTCTTCTTCTTGTTGAGATTATCAGAAAATCGACTCTTTCCAGTGACCGTCACGGAGATGGATACATTGAGAGCTTCAAGAGCAACGCCAACTTGGCTGACAGTACATCAACACAGTCGTCGCGAGTAAGCCGTGTGAGAAGCTTCCCAGGATACTCGCCATTTTTGAAACACTCGGTTATTGAAGAAGTGGAGAATGAATTCACAGTTCGAGGGGACGAAATGAGAGACGAACTTCAGAAGGCGATTGCTGAACACAATGCTAGACAGTTAGAGCCTGCACAATTTCCGAAAGATGAAACGGAAGAAGAAGAAGAGGAAGAATAAATTATTATTATTCGATTTTCTTTTCTTCGAATTTTCCATTCCTACAATCCCAACCATCACAATTTCTACGTGTTCCCCTTTTCTTTTTCAGTCGATCCAAAACTCATCTTTCCAAATTGTTCTTTCCTCCGTCCCTCAGTCATAATTTAGATCCTTCCCCCAATTTTTGTAAATCTTTCTTACCTTCACATACTCGCTCGTGATGGCTTCGAAATCAACGATAGCTGCTCCGACAGATACCTGGAAAACACGAGATTCGTGATGGTTCGAGCAAATAAATGTCATTGAAACTGGTAGGCGTTGTGTTGTTTGTTAACAAGACAAAACGTCTGTTTGTAGGTATTGTTTCAAAATTTACGCGGTAGGGATTTAGAAGAAAAGGTCAAAATTGAGTTGTTTTTTGACTCACCACTTTTGGTTTTCTTGGAGAAGAAGAAGAAGATGTATGGTTTTTAGAAACGGATGTAATTGTTCGTTTTTCATGCATTTTAGCGGCAAGTCTTCCAGCAATCGAAGCATTGTTTTCCAAAAGTGCAATATCTGAAAAATATATTGAGACAAAAATTAAGTAAGCACTCTAATAGAGTCTTACCCACACCGTCAACTTTGAGTTCATTTATATCATTTTCTGTGAGAGATATCAAAAAGTGGTCCACCGACAAAACGTTTCTGATAATATGGTAAACATTATGTTAGTTAATCACTTTTTGGTATGTTTCACACAAAATGAAATGAGTAACCTCAAAGTTAAAGATTTCGGTCTTATCCTAAAAGTGTTTACAATAATTCAAACTCACTGGTAGCCATGGAAGCTCCTTTTGTCAGTTCATTGACTCTAGCTAAGATAAATGGTGTGACACTTTGGGATGCGATGTTTCGTTCTCTATTAGGTTGGCGGGAAAGTCTTTGTCACTTTTTCAATAGTTTATTTCTCAAAGAAAAAATAACCGAATAATTAATTATATTGTCCATCATTATCAACAACATGTCTCCAACGTTCCCTCAATTTATGGATTCCATTGCGGTAGAATCCAGCCGGGCGTGAGGCAAAGTATTGTTTGAGTGCCGCTTCGACCGCTCCACGGGAATTGAAGCTTCTTCCTTCGAAGGCACGTGTCATATCGCCAAATAACCAATAGTCGGAAGGAGCAAGATCAGGAGAATACGGGGGGTGAGGGAGAACATTCCATCCATATCCCATCAGCTCCTGCTTCACTTGTTTCGAAACATGTGGGCGAGCGTTATCATGTTGATAGTACACTTTCTTGTCTTTCAGGGCCGAACGGTCGACTGCTTTCTTGAGGTTTCGTAGTTGAGTAGTGTAGAGGTCTCCAGTTATTGTTTTGCCCTCGGGCAGAAGTTCCCAGTAGATGGGGCCGTCCACTCCCCACCACACAGAGAGCATAACTTTTTTCGGATGAAGGTCGGGTTTGGGGACATCCTGTGGGCTCTCTCCTTCTCCAACCCACTGGGATTTCCTGTGGTGATTATCGTAGAAGACCCACTTCTCATCTCCGGTTATTAGCCGGTCCAGCCATCGATCGCCCGCGTGGAGAGTGAGAAGAGTAATCGAATCGTCGACTCGGCGGTCAAGGTTGGCTTGAGTCAGGTGATGAGGTATGAATCGACCAAAAAGTTTTCTCATTCCAAGAGACTTCAAACCTTCAAGGACTGTGCTATGGTGAACTCCGAATGTGACAGCTAGTTCACGGCTAGATTGAAATGGATCCGATTGCAATGCGTGCTTCAGCTTGTCCAAATCCAACTCACGGGGTCTCCCAGAGCGATCCTTTTCATCGAGCGAGAAGTCATCTTTTTCGAAACGATGGAACCAATTGCGAATAGTATTGTAGTGAGGGGCATGTGTGTTGTACACATTCTTCAAGAAAGTTTCCGAATCCTTCATCGTGGTGTGAGATAGGAAGAGGTAAATCAAAACATGTCTGATGTGAATAGCAGTGGGAACAAACATATCGTTTCAATTACAGATGAGGAGCAGGGAAGGAGATGGGGACTTGTTTATATGGAAGGTTCTTATCACCTTGTTATTCACTAAAGTCGATATCATACACAGCCTCCATATACGAGAACAGTGATTAAACAAACAGAGTGACAAAGACTTTCCCGCCAACCTAATACAAAAATGAAATACATCAAAAAGGATTTTTAGAATGTTGTGAACTCACTGTGCTTCTCGGACAGCTTGATCAATAGCGTTTTGGATAACATCACCATCGCCAGCGTATTTTTCTGGTATCGGGCATGCAAGTATAGTTCCATAGGGGAGACCTAGTATTCTCGATGTTTCTGGAAACAAAACAAAAACAATGTTTATTTTCAAAATTTATCCACTCACTCAACAAGTCAACAACCTCATTTAAATTCTCCGTACTAAATTGAGCTCTACTCCCGGATTTTCTTGTGAAAAAGCTTGGAAACACATTCTCATTCCCATAGACCACACAATTGACCGAGTGCGTTTCCAAGTATTCAACAGTTTTTGGGATATCCAGAATACTTTTGACACCTGAACAAACGACACAAACTGGAGTCTTCGACAGCTCTTGTAAATCGGCTGAGATATCGAACGCTGGAATAAATGATGTATGAGATTTCTGTGAACAAGAAAAAGTCACTCTGATCAGCTCCACGATGAACACCGCCGATTCCACCAGTAGCAAAGACGTGGATACCACAAGCATTTGCAATTTTCATAGTTGAAGCTACTGTAGTGCCACCGACCTCTTTCTGGAAAAAGGGAAATTATGAAACGGTGAAATTGCAAAATACAAACCCTGATCAACGTTTTAGCAATATCTCGAGTGGAAACTTTTACCGCCTTTTCGCTGGATGCGAGCTGTTCCAGTTGTTCCTCATTTAGTCCAACATGAATCTTAAATTATTTTTTATCAAAAATATTATTTTCGAATACGTTAAAAAACAAAAGAACAGCTTCATCACCAAACAAAAAAAATCTTATTCTGACTTTTTTCAACTGATTGTAGTCTAGTTTTTGAACAAAAAAAACCTTTAAAAAGACCTCCAAAAGAATTTCGAAACGTTTCAAATTTTCTGAAAATTGCAGTGATTTTTCAAGGTGAAACAACTTTCTATTCAGTGTTAATTTGGTGTTTTTAGCACCGTTTTAATTATAAACAGCATATCTTATGAGGATTGGATCTAGCTAGAAAGCTTTATTTATTTTTAATTAATTTGTTTTTTCGGAGAGTGGAATCTGAACTTTTCAGAGCATTCGAAAAGTTCCGAAATATTATTTCAGGACTTCCTGGTGGAAAAAAAAACTAAAAAATCTTAACTGAAAATTTAAAACAATTTTTAACTCATGAAATTTTCAATTTTTCGTTCTCCAAAATTTGTTTGAAAAAACCTTACTTTTCCATCGAATAATGCAATAGTAGCTGGATGACTGCCAGCAGACCTAACTTTTTGTTCCAAACTACGAGCTGTGCTGAAACTTTTTTTTTTCAAAATTTTTAAAAGTTGTTTTTTAAAAATTCTCACCTCAAATTATGCGGATAAGGTAACCCGTGAGTGATAACCGTACTTTCCAATGCAACAACACCTTCGCCATTTGCCAATGCTTCTTTTACAAGTGGAGAAATTTGAAGAAACTTTGAAAACGCCCGTTTTTGACCGAAAAAGTGAGAACACATGCTGAGAGTGAATAACTGCCAGGCAGTTCTAAGGTTATTCTGCTATCGGGAGAAAAAATCAATAATAATAGATGAGAAAAGAGATAATACCTGTCGTACTCCCTTTTTTCTTATCTTTTGAACTGTGTTGTGTCTCCGCCAGACTGTGGCATATCATTCAGAACACGATAAGATAGGGAAATCGTTTTTTATTGAGTTTTATTAAACTGTTATTAGAAAGAAAATAAATAAATCAAAAGAACGTTATTGAAAGAATTTTCGATCGAGATCTCGTTAAAGTTCGTCATGACAAAATATAATTAGAAAATAAATTAGAACAAGAGAATAAATTAGCGACTACTAACAAGGTCCGTAAGTTAAGAAGACTCGAAAAAAATCATCAAAAAAACTTAAATTGGAATAAGAACTGGAGGTTTTCCACACGACACTGGCTCAAATCTTCCGAGCGGGGTACGGTAGATGTCTCTGCGGCAGAAGTTGCACGTTTTTCTGCAGATTCGGAAAGCCAAATGAGCAGTTGATCCGTCGCAAGACCATTGAGACTAGAAATTATTCGAGTTATAAAAAATTCCAAAAATTTGTAGGAAACTCACTTTTCCCCAAACATCTTCCTTCTTCAAAAATCTCTTACAGAATTCTGGACCGTGTCGATCGAAACATTGGTTGGATTTATGTCCGGCTTGGAAAATGAGCTCGTATCGGTCAGCGGCACTTTCCAATCCGCATGTGTTACAGCATTGGATGAGAGAGAAGTCAGCATCGGTGGCGCATCTGGAGAATACGTTCATTTGAAAACTATGTAAATTGAAAAAAACCTGTCAAGGAATTTAGATGGGTTGTGTTGCTGAAGCCGTCTACAGGCAATGCTAGAAATGATATCAGAGCAACATGGTGGGAATGCGGCTCCAAGAGCTGTTGACAGCTCACTTATAGTAGCATTATCTTCTTTGAACATGGGTTTGAGTTTGGAGATTTGAAAACCGGCATTCACGGTTTCTAAAAAGAGGAAATATGCACACAAAAATGAAAAACTGAAACGAAAACTCACGTAAAACAAAAACGGCCGAGAAGATAATCACACACTTCCACATGCTGATGCTCAATGTAATCGAGAATGTCCCAAGTCGTCGGAACATTGCTCGTACTTTTATAATACAATGCCAATCCAGTCCGGTTCTGCGTCTCCCGCATTTTTCGCGCCGCCCCACGAGGCGTCGCGACTGAGCAGCAGCAACAACACAATGTAAACGATGACCGGAAGGAGACAGAGGGGGGAGAATGGAGCATTTAGAAGAAAGAAAGGTATACTGACGTGATTTTTTTCGTGCTTCTTGGCAGATTCGATTTTTGTTAAGCAAGCGGAGACTGGATAAATCGGGTTGATTACACGTAATCACACGTTTCGTACAATAGGGATTTCGTAACCAAAGGGCAAAAACTTAGATATCGTTTCATAGCACAATTGAGCTGTTTAGTACCGGACAAAAAATATCGCGTTTGTACTTTCAAAGTAGAATAGAGCCATTGAAGTGATAAATAACCAAATTGTTCAGTCCTACACAAATTTTAAAACTTCCTCATAAATGGTTTTTTGAATGTGTAAAACCAGTAGAACAGTTACCAAACCGGGTTTTCAAAAATCACATTTTGCCTTTTTCAATGAATGATGTTTCAAATTCTTCAAAAAAACGTCTATATCAGAGATTTTGTTTTGTCAGTTTTATTTTAAATTTCCATTTTTTCAATCATCAACCGGACCAAGAAAAAAATGGTTTCAAAGTGACACATTTTTTGTTCATTACTATTTTTGGAACTTTTTGGTTATAAACGACATATAACATCACAATTAAACAAGAACTTTCTAAATTACAACGATCATATATTTTCCGTTTGGTAGAATTTGAATTTTTCCGTGCAATGGAAAAATCTGGAAAACATTTTCAGGACTTTAAGTTGACTTTATTCACTAGAACTTAATCAAAATATCGTAGTTTCTCTCATAAAAGCTTACTCAAACTGTCAACTTTGAGCTCGATTATCTCCATGTCCGTGAACGATATTGAAATTTGTCAATTGATCAATGTTTTATCATAATATTTACAATATTTTATCAGTTGACTAATTTTTGATTTATTTCAGAGCAATCGAGATAACTATACTAAAAGATGAAAGTTTGAATGGGTTCATGTCAAAGAACATACGGTATGAGACGTTTTTGTCGAGCAAACATAATTTTCAACATTCTTCTTCTCATAGGCAATTTCAAACTCCTGAACTGATAGACACCCTCAAAAAATATTTTGGCAACAAATCGACTTTTGTAAAATGTGGGTGGATGCCCACCTCCGAGAGTTGTAAAATTGAAAATGTTATTTTTCCTTCTTTCCTGAGTTTTTTCCGTTTGTTCCCAAACAATTTTTGACGGATCGCTGCTTCAATAAAAGTTTTCTAGAAATATTTTATAGAGATGGTCGCTCCTCAAGTTCTGTCTTTCTATATTTCATATTTCTTTATTCCAATTTCCTTGATTTTTATACACTGTCTTGAACACTAAATGACCAATCACCACTGTGGTCATATGCCATTGGACATACAAATATTCCTGTCTTTTTGGTGACTCGCAAAAATATCTAATGGTCAGTAGTGAGCCAACTTCTTTCATAACGCACATACGTACTCAAACATTCCATTTGCTCAAAGAAGCTTATTCTTCTTTTTTTTCATCATCATCACTTATAACATAACAAAAAATTCACAAACAGACACACAAACATTTTTGCGTGTGCGAGCATATACCCAAGGAGAAAGACATATATCGTCTTCTGAGGTTGTTTGACGTTGGCCAGCGCCCGGCCACACAGCTTGCTGCGCGCGGCACATATCATTGACTCATAAAGCATTTACCGCGGTTTTTTGCCGTGGCGCATAAGCATCTTGTGCAACAACTTTTTGTGCTCTGGTGCACTTGGAAAATGAAAATATACGCTTTTGCCTGCCAGACAGGGAACACTGTGAGAGTCAGAGGGAGAAAACTTGGATTAAAAAAAATAAAGATACATGTCGCGGGCCGGGCCGGGCCGGGCTGGTGGAGGAATTTCCGGCAAATAATTCGGAGGGTACAAAAATTTAGGAGTCATTGAGGTACAAAGCATTTTAGGGGTACAAAATCATCAATTCGAGGGTACAAAACACCGGAAAAAAGGCTTAGTTTGTACCCCCGAATTGTGGATTTTGTACCCCTAAATTACTTTTTACCCCCTTGTACCCCCGAATTGTTGTACCCTCCGAATTATGTGCCGGAATTTCCACTGGCCCGGCCCGGCTGGCCCGGGTTTTTGAGGCAAAAATTTTAAAGAGTCATTTTTTGAGAGAAACCTGGATTTTTTGGAGCATTTTATCAAAGTTTCTTCGTTTTCAGCTTTGAGAAGGGTCCTGGGATAAATTTCTTGCTCTAGAATAATTATTTTCAAAAAATTTCATCAAAAATCAACTGAAATTTTTTGAAATTTTTGAAACCCGGGCCGGGCCAAGATTGAGAGAGTATGAAAATAAATGTATCTGAAATTTAGATTAACTGAAATAAGCGAACCAGATGAGCGTGAATGGTAATAATTCTGCGAGTATTCATGCTGAAAATGTTCCAAATTTTTGATATCACACTTCAAAGCGCAAAAACTGGATGACATAGACATCAAAAATTTTTAGAAGCTGTTATTTTAATTTTTATGAAATTTTTTTCGAAATTCTGAATTATTTATTGATGAGATTTATAAATTTAATCAAGGTTCGGTCTTCTTTGAAAATCTTTGATCTAGTGTAAAGACTTATTAAAGGCCACCCCATATATGGACTTCAAGCTCAATCATCTCAATTTTTTGGAGAATAACAAAAACTTGTCAGCGAATAAAATGTGTTTCATAATATCACCAACAATTTATCAGTTCACATATTTTGAATATCTCCTGAAGGAACCGAGATAATAGAATGCAAAGTACAGATTCATAGGGTGGGCTTCTATTTGAGCATTCACAGCAACAATCAATTTTTATGAAAATCTTTGTCTTAAATGTTTCATTTTTCTCTAGCCTCAAAAAATTATTTTAGCTCGCAACTTTAAATTTTATCAACCCCGTTTCTTTTATCCTCTGGCTTTTAACCGCTGAACACTCCCGCAACATTTGAAAAGTGCGAAACAAAGGCAAGCTGAGCAAGCAGTTTGACGTTCGTGCCAGTTCCTGCCATTAGAAAAACCCCGTGGACCGAAAATGACCTTTTGAAAATCAGAAAAAAAACATTTTTGTTCCAGTCAAAAGCGCTTGTCACTAAACTATGTTTGTTTATCATCATCACTCGTCTTCTTCCGTTTTAGGAAATCTTGGGCGCCAAGTGGGTTGCTCATCTTTGCTCTATTCGAGACAAGAAAAAAAAACGATAGGTTGTCAGACACATGTCTGATCTGTTTATTTAGTGCACATTTGGCAATCTGTCAAGTGGTCTCAATTGCCAATTCGAGTCTTGTTTTTGGGAGCAGAGACAGGACTTTCAAGAATCCCTCGTCACTTGAGGGATCAGTGAGTTCTATCAGTTTTATTAAATGGGATTCCCAGATGACCCAGTTACTCCTTAAAAAGTGATTAGAGAAAGTGTATGTGGTGCCGTCAGAGGTAATCAGTTTGTAGAGATTACGCAAGACCCCATAGATGCAAACCAATTTCTCGCGACGATGTGATGACCTATTGCATCGAGATGTGAAAAAAGTATGTCAGTACTTAGCGCCCGGTGGCATGGTATGGAGAAGTACACACACGCACAATTTTTGCGAAACCGTCCTTCTGAAGGACGTCTACGGATGGTGTGGAGAAGGAAGAAGACTTAATTGAAATGTCTTCTTCTCTTCATCTCGACCCCCATACAACAATGTTGGGGTCTGTAAGAATGGAAACCGTTTTACGTTACTGTCATTCGATCGTATTTCTTTGCATTGGCGGAAGGAAACGCCGGCTCAGTGAGAGCCCCGACGAAACGAGGAAGTAAAATTTAGGGTGACTATCGGAATCGAAGCTCAAAACTTTTGCGCCGCGCACCACACCAGCCGCTTTCACTACGTTTTGACGCACGGGTTTGGCACAATTCAGAGAGAGAGAGACTCGACAAACACACCACGTACGTATAGTTGGTGCGGAGCACAAGTCCAAATAAGTAGAACGGGAATAATTGGGAAAACAAACAGGGGAAGGGTCCAGGATGGCCGCGGAGCCACAGTCAGTGATGGCCGGCGGCGCTGTCACGAAGGTCCACCAACGGCGCTCGGAGGATCATAGCACTTTCGGGGCGACGCGTCAGACAGTGGAAAAGGTCGGCCGCCGCTTCCCATATTTGCCTACCAGATGCGAAACCGTATAGTTATTCAATTTTCGGAAATGTTTGTCTGTTTATTGGCTCGGCCACTTTCGTTTGTTATAGGGCGAGTGACCAATTGAATGCGAAATCGAAACCGAAACCGTATTGTTACTTGAAAGTTTGTGTTGTTGTCGTGGGCGATCTTGTGAATGAGTTCCAATTTCAGAACGCAGAAAATGAATTTTGTGTTATCAGTGATTTTCTTTTATCAGTTTACTACGCAGAGCAAAAAAACTAAGAAATCAGACCCCATTTTGCTTGAAAAAACCTCACAAAATCGGGGATCCCCTTCTCTTGCCCTTTTTGCCTCCCACCCTGATCGCAAATTCAGTAGTCGTTGCCATAATACACAGTCAAATTGAATGAACGACCTTTGGCTGGTCAATTCCGATGCGAAACACTGGACGGCACCGAATCGGCACGGCAAGTGGTACTGACGACCACCGCGACAACAAAGATAGATCGTCGGCCCAACTACTAACTGTATCTCATGTTAAACAGAAAAATGAAGAAAAGTAGAGAGAGAAAGAGATAAGATAAATCATTTGGTCATCACGTAATTTTCACAGCTAGTCTCCGTAGTCGGAAAAATAGAACCGGAGAGAGATAGGAAAAAACAGCCGGTTTTTTTGGTGGCGTCATTGTTTCCCAGGTGGCAAAAGGTTGAATTATTGACGACATATTGCCGCTTGTCGTAAGCTAAACAACTCCAGGGACCATTCAAGTCAGAATACCT